TTTTCGAAATTACTTAATTGTTTTATAATTATTTTTTGGAATTTATTTACATAATATTACATGATAAGTATTTAAATAAATAATTATTAAAGAAATCATTAATTAATTATTAGATAACTATTTATCATAAATAAATAATTAATTATTCGTGTACATAATATTACAATTTACTTTTTGAAAATTGTAATTGTTAAACTTTATTTACTCTAATTTTAATTTCTTGAAATAAATTATTAAATTATTTTTAGAATTTACAAAAAATTATTCGTGTACAATAATTATTAAACTAGAATAAATTACTTCACAAAATAAATTATTAAAATATAAATTATTAAAATATAAATTATTTTTCAGAAATTTATTTAAAAAAGTAATTTATTATGATAATTATTAAATATTAGAATTATTAAATTTTATTTACTCTAGTAACATTATTAAATTTTAGTTTTTTGGAATAAAATGTTAAATTAGATAAATGTATTTTTCACAATATCATTAAATTAGAATAAATTATTTCAGAAAATTATTTATGTATGATATTTATTACATTATAATAAATTATTAAGATATTTTTAAAATTTCATTAAATTAGAATTAATTTATTTTAAGAAAATTATTTGTGTGATAATTAATAAATTATGAAAAATTTTATTTAGTCTAATAACATTATTAAATTTTAATTTATTAGAATAAATTATTAAAATATAATAAATTTATTTTTGAAAAAGAATTGTTAAATTAGAATACATTTCTGAAATTATTTTTGAATTTCGTAATCAATTGTGTTATTTTGAAAAAGTGATTGTTAGTCATCGAAGGTTTAAAAAAAAATCCACAAGAGATGGCATAAAATTTCTACTTAAACACCAGCTTGTGCATCGCACTGGTCCATACTAGTATGTTATAATAATAAGCATGCATGTTTTACCAACAACACCATTCTTAATCGTGATGCACTTTATAAACCTAGACACACTAATTTCCATGCAACTATGGATCTTCTTTCAACGGCGAAGATAACTCACCCATGATCAATGTGTTAAAACCCATTTGGAGCCAAACTGTTTTTGCCTTCAGGATATGGGTCACCGGTTCAACCATTCAAGTTGAACAGGTTAAACCATGTCACATCGACCAATATAATACATGTGTATATATACACTATATGTATATACTTGTCTATATAGGTATAAACGCATTTTATCTATATACTACATAATTATATTCTACATGTAATATGCTCGCTATTTTATATTTAATTTATATTTGTTAGTTCAATTTTATTTATTATTTATAAAAATGCTACAAATTACAATTTGAAGCAAAAAAGGATTTTTCTTGACAAAATTAATAAGGCTTCGGTGCCTTGGGGCAAATAGATCTTGAAAAATTACCCAAAATAAAAAAAAATCACCTCAATTGAACATCCAAACACAAATCTATATATGGCCCCTAAAAAACGGTTCGGATGGTTCGCTCGTTCGAGTCTACCACAAGTTGAAAACACTACTCAATGCCAAAATCATTTCCCTTCTTTCTTCTTTGCATTATCCAATTGTAATCTCCTTGACAACATAACTCAAAAGAAAATTTCATTTTTCAACAAAAAATTTACCAACTTTTCAACCCCAACGCAGAATAGGTAAAGAAATACCAAAATCAAAAAAGTCTCCAAGGTATGCGGTTACACAAGTAATTTCAAGAGCAAGCCGAGTTATTAAGCCATGCACAGAGGATGCCAAGGGGTCTCACAGTCCCAGTAGCTAGGATTTTGGACAATCCTTGTGGGATTCAAAAACAAAATTCCTAGGGAAGGAAAACAAAGAAAATGAGAAAGCAAAGGTTGAAGAATGTAAAAGGGTAAAATAGGAATTATCGAATATTAAACAAATCATTTGATGTCACATGCTAAAGACATGTGACTTTTCGTTAACAGAGCATATGTTTAAATCTAGTGGGACAATTTATAGGGTATGTTTAAGTCCATTTGAAAAAGTTAGGGCCATTTGGTTCACCAAAATAGAGGTACAGAGTCAGGATTAAAATGGGCCATTCCAATTTCAATTGTTTGGTCGGTTAAAATCGAAATCCTATGGCTCTTCTTGGTGGAATGGCATTGACGATTCCCTCCCCCCTCCATTGGGAATGAAATCTCAATTTCCATTTTAATTCCTACCTAAACCAATTGAACTATGGGATTAGACCATTCTGAGGGATTTCAATTCTCATTCCGATTCTGACCATGAAATAAATAGACCCTTGAGTTATTTACCTGGTGACTTACTTTGTGATAAATTACTTATTTTGATAAATGCATTTAACGGAATAAGTGTTACTAGTTAAATACATTTACCCATGAGGTAAATAGTAAGTTGCCAAAAACTTATCTAGGGGAAAGTTTTGTTTTCGTGGAATTCACATTTCACTAGTAGGGGCTGTTCGTTTTCCAATAAATGGGGGAGAGTATGTTGGTSGGTCTTATGGAAAAGAAAGAGACTCACGTCCATGTTTGGGTATTAGTGGGTCCTATGAAAAAGAATAATTCCCCAGTGGCTCAGTTATCTTGGTAAATAATACCCTCCACACACTTGGTTAAATTAACTTCCTATCGATGCAGAAAATTGTTAAAACGTGATAGGACAATATTGTCCTTTCAATAATGTCCATTTTACGGATAAAATGGTCACTAGATAAACTTTACTAGAGAAATAAAAGAACACTTATCCAAATATGTATCCCGGATAAATGTATTTACCCAAATAAATGAGATACTGAAAATGAATAAAGCCCCCCCATCTCACCCCAAACAAAAAGGGCCATAGGGTATGTTCAAGTTAATTTGAAAATTTTAAGGCAATGTTCAAAATTTCGCAATGTATCAGATTGTATCGGCCGATATGTATCATTTCGGTACAAGTTCAATACACGGAATACATAGAAATTAATGCATGATTTTAAATTTGAATTTCAATTTTAGTGCCTAATTGGAATTCTCTTCTCATTAATTTCGTTAATTAATAACCCTATTTTTCATTAAATTCGTTTTGTTAGTATAAAACTACAAATTTAGCAATAACAAGATTCAAACCCTAGCCATTAGGCTTTAGCAACTAGAGGTTCACCACTAAGCCACACCCATTTGCTTGCTATAGGTTTCTGAATTTTTATTGTTAAGTAAATTTTCTCTTTTTCCTAATGTATGCTTATCAATAAATGTTAGAATTAATTATTAAAATTTATATATTTGTAAATATTAGGATAAATTATATTGATTATTTTAAAAATATGTATATCAATATACATTTTAGTTTTTTTTGTCACATTTTAGTTATTCTATCATTTGTCAATAATTACTAAGTATATCCCGATATCTCAAATTTTATATAAACCATTAAATTATAGTTTTTCTTTTTTTACTTTTAAATAACTTACTTACAATCATATAAAACTTATAACTATTGTTATTAATATATATTTTTAGGATTTATTTGAGTTTTTTAGCATATTTATGCATATCTTGATTTTTCGTCCGTATCCATACATATCCAAAGCGTATCCTGATACGTCTCTTAAAATTATCTTTTCGATACACATTATGTTTTTTATACTTTAAACCTTACTTTAAGGTACATTTAAGACCCCATTTGATTTTCAAGAAGTTACTTACTTGGGTAAGTGCATTTATCCATGCTCTTTTATTTCTTAGGTAAATAAGAAAATGACCGTTTTAGCCATAAAAATCCATTATTAAAAAAGTCAATTTTGTCCCATCCAAGTGTTGACAACTTTCCTTCCGGTTGGGAGATGGGCATTACTAACTCAGGTAAATGATACCTAGGAAAAATAAATTTTCTATAAATATGAAAAAAAAAACATGATATTTTGGGTAATTGGCTCCCATTGACCAACTTTCCCTCCTCTCAAAATTAAAAAAAAAAAAAACCCAAATGGGCCCAAGCAACATTTTAAAAAATGACCAAAAAACAGAACCATTCTAGGTACTGGTTTATGGGTCAACGATCCGACCGTCCAATTTTAATGGACATCAAAATTAAAAATTAAAAATAATTAAAAAAAAACAGTCAAAACTGTTGAACGAGTCAACGGTTTGATCGCCCAGGTCAATGATTTGTTGATTTTTTTCAACAGTTTTTTACTAGATTTCAGGTTTTGGGTAAAATAGAACCAGTTGCCTGAACAGTTCCCAGGCCGAACAGTCCAATCATCCAGGTCAACAACGGTTCGAAAACGTTAGGCCCAAGCCTTTTACCCATTTCAAACCACCCAAAAAAAGTCTCAACATGAAGACTCCCAAAAAATAGTTTTAACATAAACGTAATAAAAAAACTAATTTCMTCCCTATCTCTTAATAGGCGTTCTATTATTCCAGTCACTGCTCGTGTCATATGCCCAAGGTCCCAAACGAAAATACACACCCTTTATTTCCCTTATTCTTTTTCTTCTTTATAAATAGAAGACAATCACCGGGCACTGCCTCCAACATCTTTGTACAACAGGAAAAGAGAGACGTCACCACTTAACCAAACAGAAATAAAAACTAAGACCCGGTTCACTTTTCATAAATTAATTACCTTGGTGAGTTTTTTACTTAGAAAACATATATGCATAAGTAAGTGCTCTTTTATTTTAAGCAAATAAAATAATGATCATTTTAGTCATAAAAATTCATTATTAAAAAAAGTATTTTTGTTCTATTCAAATATTTTTTTTCCATTAAAATGTTAACAACTTCCCCCCCCCCAAGGTGAAAAAATTATTTAACATCACTTGCCYCGATAAATAATACCCACAAAAATAAACTTCCCTAATCCCCACAACAAAATCCCATTGACCTTCCCATCTCAAAATCCAAAAAAAAAGAACACCCCCTAAATACAACATTCTACCTCTAAATAAAAAGTTAAAAACCAAGTCCAGAAAATAAAAAATGCAAACATTTCTTTGATAATAAAATAAAATTTATTAAAAGAAAAATAGACTGATACAAGGATGGCTCTTCATTAATTCTTTGAAGTTATAAAACCGAATTCTATTAAAAAAAATTGCTTAAACCAGACATTGCATTCTCCTTGGCAAAACCAGTGATCTTTCCTAATGATTGCACCGTTTGCGGAAACAGCCAAAGGAAGACGCAGGTGAATAACAATGTTTCAAAAAGGGCCAGCATTCAAAAAACTAAAACTCCTCCATACTGCTAGAGTGCAAAAAATTATAATGTTGTTCCAAAATGAACTAATGGGGAAATGGCAAAAGGTAGATGTAGAGAGTAGGAACACCCARAATTTTCTTATATTTTTCAGGGTACTTTCACTCGTCGTCTTCATCATCATCATCATCTGCTCCAGCTGCCGAATTGAGAGCATTCAATCTCTCAATCAACTTAGACTTCCTTTCCTCGTAGGTCAGTTTCTTCAAATTATACCTGCAACACAAAGCAATACTTTATCAAGCTGAATAATATGATTAGAAACTTCAATCACCTTGTTTTCAGCAACCTCTAAGCTCTATTGATTCTAAAGTATGACAGAAAATCCAAGTGCGTGAGTATATGCATGAGACATAAGGGGGAAAGGGGAGACAAAAGTGAGGACTCTCCTACCTCTTGTGTTCCTTGGGAGGTTGCTTCTCAGACTTCATGGTAGGGTCAGCACGAATAGCTGCATGGACCTTCCTGTACAACGCTTCTATGTTATCAGGCTCGATCCCTTTCTTGATGTACTCACCGAAGTGAGACTGGTATTTTTCTGGCTCATCTTCCATCAATGTCTGTCAATCAATTAGCAAAATCAGAGATATACCTTCAGAACTACCAAACACCGGGGTTCAATCATWTTCTTTTTATCCTAATACTGTAGTTAAAAATCCTAGATGTGCCACGTAATCTTTTTAAATCTAAAATTTTGTTCCTGGGGCTCACCATCATGTATGAAGCAACATGTCCACCATATATGTATTTGTGGTGAACCTCAGGATCCAGCTGCTTGTCCTCCTTTTTGAAGCCAGCAAACCTTTTGTCACTATGCGGAATGTCTAGTCCACCATCCAATGCTCCCTGAAACCAATGAGATTGAAATCGATTGATCCTTTATTTGTTTATCAATTCATCAAAACACTAAACATGGTTTCAGTTCCAATTTCCTACCAAGATGAATGAAAATGAAGGCAATTAATTGCCCTCTGAAATAAAAAACAAGGCACATTAAAATTACTTCAGATGGCAGGACAAAGCGATCAAACAACAATTTTTGTCTCTACCCATGACAATGTTCTCGTGAAAGCTTCAAAGCACATGGAAATGAATTTATGGTTAGCACAGGCACCCCAATGAAAATATGCAAAAAATCTATCAAGAAAAAMAAGGAACTATAGCAAAAATATGGCCTAATCCCCTTGACAAAGCCAATTCTACAAAACAATATGAGCACATAGTGTGCAGAAGCTGGGGACACCTTCAATCTTAGATAACAGGATGAGAACTTCATAAGCCATTCTGATATGATCACAGACACTGCTGGCATCCCGCCATGCCTGCAAACTTAAAAACTATTCTATTCAGAAATGACAGACTATGGTCAACAACCCCCAAAAAAATTCAAATTTTCCCTTTCTTTAGATAATGAAGGCAGTCTAGAGGTTCATATATTTAGAGGCATTGGTCATACATTCTTTGAAAAGTTCTTCATAGTTTCCACAAGTATCCTTTGTGCGTTGAATAAAACCGATGATCGACAGAAAACCTCCCACATAAAAACTGAAATGCACACCGCATATATAGTAGCTACTAGTCCTTTTGAGAACATGATGTACAACTAAATGAAGAAATAAGAACAGAATACTAATACACAATAACTGGCTATCTTGTTTTACCTTAAGGGCACCAAAAACACGGTTTCCGGTGGTTGTTCTAACAAGGCCAACATCAAGAAGAGCGTGGAAAGGCCTCCTGCTCTCTGTGGGTTCTACAGCGTAATCCTCCCCAGTTGCCTAACAGAAAGCATGTGAGATCACAGTATATCGCTTCAGTGAAAAGAGATGGAAGGCAAGAGTATAAATTATGTTAAATACCTCCACATTGCCTTGATACTCATCTTCCATTTCAAGCATCTTCAGTACTCGGCGAGCCAAGAGAAGTCCAGTACAGTAGGCTGGGGGATCATATTAATTGTTAGAATACCAACATCATACTAAAGTTAAATAAAGAAATTAAAGGGGGAAATACTTTCAATCACAAAGAACCTCATACCTGCTGCATAGTTAGTCAGACCTACTTCAAGACCATAGCGCGGCAACTCATGAGAATATGCTGCTGCAAGGACCATATCACCAGCAATACTTGCATATATTACTTGTGCAGTAATATCTTTGTTAGTCTAGTAGCAGCGTTAAGATTGAAAACATAGATAACAAGATACCATGTTTACCATAGACCCACATAGTCTCTATAGACACACCTTCTACATGGCATACAAGCTCATGACTTATCAACAACAAATAACCTACCATAAATCCCATATCTCAATGAGATCAAAACCAACTAAGGTGGTAAAGCTTCTCAATTGTCATTGCCATGTGAAATTTCCAGAGATAAAATCTCAAAGTTAGTTTGCAAATCAAATTGGAAAGTTGAGATTCCTTATTTTTCTGGAAAATTGACGAGCCATACAAGGAAACTACATCCCTCCAAAAGGGAAGAATATATCACACCATCCAGCTTCTTGATTAGGCATTCCATCAGAAGAGTCATTCTTGACTTAATAACCAAAAAGATCTAAAAAAAGTGACTTAAGCATAATAAAAGAAAGAACTTTAAGGATACAAATCGTACAACAAATCGATATTTTGGCGTGTTGTACTTGTTCTTGTCCTGGTTGATCAGGCGAATCCTCGCCCTGTAGTCAGTCTTTCCCTCTGCATATCAAGGATACCAAATGCATGAGAGAGAAACTAGACAAACTCTAAATGACATGAAGTGAACCACGGGATCGAAACACCCTACCTCTCCTTCTTTTGTATTTAACTTGAAAACGCTTGAAGTACGCCTTTGTCTTATGAGCTTTGACAAAGCCCGCCTATAATGCACAGATAAATTGTTCAAGTCTAAAAAGTCAGAAATGATTAAATTTATCCCACCATAACCACAAATGAGACCAACAAAGCAACTAAGCAAAAAACAAGTAAAAGAAAGAGCCGTTTCCTTAAGTTCAACTCTACAAGCAAGCGTGTGGCTATAGAGGACGCTATGAAAAACATCCTCCTTCCAAACAAATGAATCATGCAAATGTGGTTACACACTGAAATATTTTGTGGGAAAGTATGCCAATACTCATACAATTGAGGTTCAGAAATATGAACAATTTTCGGCCTTAATACAACAGAAGCGACGAGATTCGGAAACCCTAAAGTTACAAAGCTATATAGCAAAAAAAGAAATTCCAATCTATTAGTCGTCTAAAACCTTGTATATCCTACATATGATCAAACAAGCCGATGACCAAAGCTATGATCTGAAAAAACCAGATACCATGAAACGGGTATCATTCAGAATAGCACTAGAACATTGTGAGATTCAACGTAGATGAGATCCAGAAAATTTGAGAGAACAAGCAATGCATTTCGAAAGGCACAAGCTACCAAAAATAAAAAGAAGTAAACCTAGTTGAAYGGCTTAAGGATATCTAGTTCTGTGGTTCTCAGTTTCTTACCATTGCTGCTAGGCTTGATTCGCCTCCCGGCGGTGACGACGGTAGAGACCAGAGAGAAAAGGGTTTTTGAGCGAGCCACGAATATAAACCCTATAAGGACTTCGGAGAGGATAATCGACGACTACGATTAGTTTGTCAAAGTTCTCGGGGTTAGATGATAATACAACCTATACAGGTGACACAAAMAAACTGTTTACGGGCCGGGCATTGACTTTTATCAATAAATAAATAATGACCAGGCGCGCGAGCCCGGCCCATATATAAAGCCCGAAATTTGGGCCCAAGCCGATGCCTGAACAGGTATATTATAATATATTAATTGGAGAATTCTGATTGATATATTATAGCTCCTCGTAGTCTATTAGTAGCCTCTTATAAATCGCATTCCGATCGTGGATTTGGCATCATCCACAATCACGGTTCATTCTAGGGGCTAAGAATTTTGAGATGGTTGAACAGTCATTCTTCCTATATTAATTATMTATTATTAATAATTTTTTATGTATTATATAATATTTTATATATTATAATATAYATAATATTTTTACTATTAACATTATTATATTATATTATATGTTTTTATTATATATAATATTATTGGGCTTGGATTGGACTTAAGTAGGGGTGTAAATGATATAAGAACATCCAAATTTGAATTCAAGATTCGAAATTCAGCATTATCAAATTGAATTTTAATTCGAATATTTCACTTAATCCAATTCGAATATTAAAAACATACCATTTATTTAATCGAATCAAATTCGAATTTTAATTGATTTTAAATATCCTACTAACTATATATGTATAATAAATAAAATTATACAAATATATCATAYCACAAAAAGTTGTCAGCGGTCGGTTAGTTGTGAGCTTTTTTATTTTTTATACTGGTTTGTGATGATAACCATTGGCACTTAACACAATATTGGCCCCTATACCTTTTCGACAAAAGAGGACTTCTATCCATTATTTTCTTCCATCGATTAATGACCATTCTCCCTCTCAAAGATTCCTCTTCTTACTTGTTCCCTTCGGTCTGTATTGACAAAAGAGGACTTCTATCCAATTTTGCCAATGCATGTAATCAATGCTCAAAGTATCGGAAATGGTATGCGTATCGGAAAGGTAAATTTAAGAAATGTATCGGAATATGCCTTGGATATATATGGATATGGACGAAAAATTAAGATACACATGGAATGCTATAAATACTTCAATAAATCATAAATAAACATCAATATCATTAAATATAAGACATAAATGGGTTATTTATGCATAAAAATAACATGTTTTAATAGTTTTTATGAAAAAACACATATTATAATCAATATACAGGAACAAAACATACTATCTAATAAAGTACTTAATTCAGATCCAATCTTCTAAGTTTCAACTTTAAATTTTCAATCTACTATAATTTACAAATTGAACATGTGAATCATATGATGAAGTTAGAAGTTATAGCATACATTGATCACTTTCATTATATTCATACTTTCATTAAACTGGTGAATGGTAACAAAGTAATGAAGTTTATTATCAACCTAAATAAAACATTATTAAAATTAGATAATTAATAAATAAACAAAAATCATAAAAAAATATAAAAATTGTCATGACTTGGCAATTTATTATCGTACCTAGAATTAGAAGTGACGACCATCAGTACCATAGGAAGCTACGTACAGGTTGAAAGTTACTTATATCAACATTAAATTGATCTCTGACGTAACAACAATATTCATTCCAAGTTATCCTGGTGGAATAAGAATTCACATATGCTTGTCTAAAATATTTATATTGCTCCAAAGTGCATTGTTGATAATGAGTTTGAGAACAATAACTTGATCCATAATCATGTGAATCACATTGTTGTGTACTATATATCTTATACGAAGATGAACCGTCAATTTGCCTATCATTATATCCTCCACCAAAAGCCAATAACTCATACCAGATAAACTAGACCTAGGAACAAATTAAGCAGTGGCCATGTTTGCTTATAATCATAATCTAGATTCATGCTACCCATGCCTTGCATCATTTCATTCATAGGGTTACTATAAGCTTGACTCCATTCATTTTGTCTTTCATAATCATAATTGTCCATTGCCTAGGTTTTGTTATTCATTAAAAGGCATTGAGTCATATATTGATGGTATATATTTAAGATATTTACCACTTTGATCACCTTGATGTTAACCACTATAATCAACACCTTGACTATTTCCAGTATCACCATCTCCAATACCAGCACCATCATCATCACCACCATCACTATCACCATCACCATCACCATCATTATCATCATCATAATCATCATCATTATCAGTAGTTGTATTTTTTTTTCTCTTGTTCTCTGACCCACCGATCAACATTTACCCCCATTTGACWAGCAATAAAGGCATATTAGGTCTTGGTAGATCATCTGATTCATCTAACACCCTTGATGTATCTTATTTATTTGCAACCATGACAATACTAGATCATCTTCATCATATATGTCATCAAAGTTAATTAGGTCAAAATAACCTTCTGCATGACTCTAATCTCTAGTAAGATGTCTAACCTTTAGTCTCATATTATAATGCACATACACTAACTTTTCAAGAGTCTCATAGGATAGATGATTCATCTGTTTTGTTTCGATGAGGCCAAAGGTACTCTAATTGCGTTCACAACCACTAGATGAAGCAATTCGTGATAATACATTTATTGCAATCTTTCAAAGATGTGGGGCGTATTGACCATACATCAACCACCATTCAGCTGAAAAATATAAAATAAAAATATTTCAGTATCATATATCATTAAAATGAAAAATTACTTAATAAAATATTAATAATTAAAAAATATATTAGAAATTTAAAACTTCATCATACCTATGTCAGTTTTATCTCATGCTCTCTGTACCAAGCTATCTCCAAATCCTCCTAATGCCTCGCAGAATAATTTGGCCTTATTGTTATTTGAAATAACAAGTATTAATATTATATGATCAAATCATCACCAAAACATATTATATAATTTATAAATTTGTAAAAACTAATGAAYAATAAATAAACAAATAATAACTAATAATTATATAAAAATTTACACTTACCTCTTGCATTGCAATAGCAACATTATCTTCATCAGGCTCCAACTTTGCAACCACCTTTTTCAAAGAACTTAATAAATCTTCATCAACACTGAGATCCATAAAATATTTAAATGCTGGATTCAAATAATATGCTGAAATTCAAAAAATATAATAATGTTAATGATTATTTTAAATATTTAGTCAACATAAATGGTTGAATTTAAATAATTTAAATTTAAGAAAAAACAAATATGCTTTGTGAATATGATGGACGAGTTGTGAATTCCATCTCTTCTCTATGATGTTTATGATCTTTTTATGGGAACTTAGATCAGCTTCTTTGATTGCTAAAACAGTTCTTCGCATTGCTTCATATATAATTCTCATTGTTGCCCATTTTTCACCAGCAACTATGCGAAGTACTTTAGCGATGGGCTCAATCATATTACAATATACATAAGTCATTCTCCAAAAATTGAGATTATTGATTATTTTCTCAACTTCTTGCCTAATTGATGTTTTACTTTGTTGCAATGATCTCCAGCCATCTGAATCAATCATGGCTCTCAATGTTGTTTTTTGATAAACAAGACTTTGCAGTGCAATGTAATGAGTGACAAATTTGGTGGGTCCGGGACATATTAGTTCTATGACTTTTATAAATTTTCTCATCAAGTTGAGAACTATGGAATGATTATATATGAAAGTTATAATTTTTTGCCCTTTTGCAATAAGACTTGACACCTTAGGTAATTTTGAGATATYTTCTAACATCAAATCAATACAATGGACTACACATGGTGTCCAATATRTGTGTTTTTTATTTTTTTTTAACATTTTTCCAACTGCTTTGTAAGCACTTCCATGGATAGTTATGATTTTGACAACATTTTCAGGACCAATTTCACCAATCATTGAATTCATCAGTTTATACAAATATTATGCATTTTGGCGCTCACTTGATGCATCAATAGATTTGTGAAATATTGTTTGTTCTTTATAATACATCATAAAATTTATGATGGACAATCTATTTGGCCCTGTCCAACCATCACACATGATGGTAAGCCCATATTAGCCTTCTGATAGAATGCCTTGRAATGATCTTGTAACTCAGCCACTTCTTTATCTAAAAACTTTCCCATCACCTCATAAGTTGTAGGCCCCTTCAAACATTTTCAATTATTTAGGAAAAATTCAATTGATCTATGGGCATGGTAGATCACCCATAGATCTACAACATAGTCAATTTCTAGAAGTAGATCGCAAGAAAAAACTATTTTTTTTTATTTTTTACCATTTTGGAATTTCTTCAAATATTGACAAAGATTTACTTATAGCATCAAAATACATGAGATTTTTTTGCACAAAAATAGTAGATCAACACACATAAATATGTTTTCAAACATCCAAATTTAAAAAAAAAAAACACAAAAGGATAGGCTAAAACGACAAAAAAAAAGAGAACATATCTATTTTCGCTGTTTTTTTAACAGCCTTGAAAAAGTTTTTGGATCTTGCAAACTTGTAGATTTTTTGGCGAATTTTCAGTAGATCAGAGTCTCTAGTAATGGTATGAACGTTTCTGGAAAGTTTGGAAAAGAAAGAGGGCTTCTGAAATGGGTTTAAAGCCCTTTTTCCAAGGGGGTTTTATTTGAGTTTCCACCACAGTAAATTCGTACTGTATCGGCCGATATACGATGCCGAAACGCACCGATACGGGCCGATACGGCCACAATATGTGTTTGATATGATGAATAGATATGGCGCATTCAATTTGGTACTATGTACCATGCCGAAAATCTGCTAAAACGATACATACCAATACAAGCTGATACGTAACGAAATTTTGAACCTTGTGTGTAATACCACTAGTCCATTGTTATTCTTTATTCTCATTCTACCATTTTCTCATATTCTCACGTGAAGTCATCATCTTCCATGAAATTTTCGCTCTCTTAACATCAACTGCATCTGCTATCTCTAATGGTACGTTTGGTTTATGTAGCTTGGATGGGAAGATTTCTGTTTTCGTGTGTTTGTTCGCCAAGATTGGATGGAAAATCGTGTGATGCCAATTCCCAAAATCAAGGATGTGGGATCACGCTGAAATGGTTCAACCCCGGTGAGAAAGAGAAAACCATGGGAATAAATATCGAGCCTTTCTACTAAAGCTCCCTGGCTGACTCTCACTACCTCCTGTATCTATAATGGTCAAGTCTCCGACGAAATTCTTGGCAATATCCGGCCAAGGCAATATCAAATACATGACCATCGACGTTTGGCAACTATTTTTATTCCATTTGTTTGTGTCATCGGTCTCTTTATGCCACTAAGAGGAAATGGGCAAAACGGTGGAAATGGTGGCCTTGGTGTTTCAATCCCTCTTTTTTTTTCTTTGCTTTTTGTTGCGGTTTTAGGACACTGATGATATCAGGTTGCCCTTGTTTTGGACACCATTGGTTCTAGCAGTGTCTATTGCATGCATGTAGATGGGGTTTCCTTCTACATCTACTAATATACTTGGTTTCTTGTAGCTCTAAATGTTTCCTCCGCCATATTCTGTAGATCAAAGACAAATTCTGGGTTCTTTGTCGCTAATATTGAGTTCTCATGATCTTGAAGCCTTGAAAGAGTTTTTGAACAAACATCATCAGAACCTTCTAGGTGTATCTAACAAACCAAGCATAAGAAACCCCAATGAGAAAATAACATTTTATGTTTCTCATCCCATTCCTTCCCATCCTTTACTTTCCCAAAACAATTTTCTTGGAAACCAAACAAACCATAATGGAAAGGAGTGAGTTTACGAATGCAATTTCCTTCCCTTTCATCCTTGATGAGTTGATGATGCCACGATGTGAAACACTGGTCTATGTTTTTTTTCTCTCTCTTCCGCAACAAATCTTGCTTGCAGTGCTTTATTTATTGAAGAATCCATTGAATATTGATGATATATAGGTAAATTTTATTCTGGTTTGAATCCCAAACCTTGAAACCCTATATTGTATCATAATTTGTCGACTTTGAATCGAAATCCGATATTTGACAGTTAATACGAATTAATTCGATTTATCATTTTAAAGCACCATCGGTTATCGAATCAAATTCGAATAACAATATATCTAAATCGGTATCGAATTCAAATATGGTCATTTCGCTTGGACAAAGTCTTTTTGAGAAAGCTCAATCGTGACCCAAAAAATCTCTGGTATTCACCAGAGATTTGTAGATTTCTCCGTTTTTGTTCAGCGACCAATCTATGATATAGCTTTTCATTTACTAGTTGTCGCTTACATTTTATGATAATCATCTTTATATACACTTGTAGATTTCCATTTACTACATAGTATTAGGATACAACTTACATTTTCCTGATGATAATCTTCGTGAAATCTCATCAAATAGAGATATTCAAATCTTAAGTGATAGGCCTACAGTTTAATAATGCAACATTCAAAATAAGAAACTTACATGATTTAGTTCCTTAAGGCTTTGTTTGTTTTGAAGGAAAAAGTAAGGAAAGGAAAGGAAAGGGAGGAAAACCTTTACAAACCTTGTATGGGTTTCACTACCTTTCCCTTCCTTTCCCTACCTTTTTCCTTCAAACCAAACATGGCCCAAGTGTCCGGGGCCTATTTTGTCTCCTTATTCTTGGTGTACTTTTTTTTCTTTGATTTCCATCAGTTCTATAGTGGTAGCTGAATTACAATGGGCTTTTTCCTCGCATACTGACAATAAGTACCCATTGTAGGGATGGCAATGGGGTGGGTTCAATGATGGTTTTGTAAATTCTAAATCCTATTTGCCTCCATAAACCTCTCAACTTGTACCCACCCCAAAACCCATAGTGAGTTGGACTTTGAGAATCCAAACCCTCCCCATATATGAAAACGCAAAACCCTCCCCACATTCAAGGGTAGAGGTGAATTGGATTTAGAATACACATCTAATTTTTCATTATTTCTTGTAATATATAATTAATAAATAAGTAAAATAACACAAATAAACAACAAATTTTCCAATTATTGAATTAACCGATTAAGACATGTAAGAAACACATAAACTATCAATTATCCTTCACATAAAATTCAAAATATTATTAAATTCAACACCTAATACTTAAAGTATATATGCTATCAAACAATATGTGGGTTGGGTTTAGAACYCACACTAATTTTTCATTATTTCTTGTTATATATAATTAATAAATAAGTAAAATAATACAAATAAATATCAAAATTTCCAATTATTGGATTAAGACTTATAAGAAACACATAAACTATCAATTATCCTTCACATGGATTTCAAAATATTACTAAATTCAACACCTATACATAAAGTTTAATGCTATCAAACAATATGCAGGTTGARAAGAATCAGGTTTTTAGAATCCCAAAACTCATCCCACTCTAAAACTTGCCATTCAAAAAAAACACCCTAATGGGMGGGTAGGGTAGAAATTGGCATCCCTAACCCGTTGCTATCACAATTCACTTTAATCCACCACTCAAGCAAGGGTCCGGAGGGGAGAGACATCACTTCCAATAAGAAGGGGCACCGAGTTTGGAGAGTTGATTGGTTTAGAAAACTGTTCCAGGAAAAGATTTAAGCTATTGGTAACGGTGCTCGATGGATTTGTAGCTACATCATTAAAGTTGTTCAGATTTACTTTCCTTCCAAAAGAACTACGCCACAATGGCTACCAAAGATGCATGCTTTTCCACGTCATCCTAAAAAAGAGGGCCCTCAAACCAACATGCTACGTAGTCTTTGAAAGAGTATAGCCAATGCTACGTAGTTTTTGAAAGAGTATAGCCAAATACTTTCAGTATGCATAGAACCTGATGTAACGATTCTGGTCACGTGTCATTTTTTTTCTATGTACCTTGTCGTTTGGTTTGCTTTCAGGTGGCCGATGACTCAGGCCGAAGTGGAGCTGCCTGGTGGTGAGCAACCTAGTGCCGAGTTGCCTGGTGGTGAGTTACCTTGATGAGCTTTGTTGCTCTTTTAGAGGCCTGCAAGGAACCAAATGTCAGAGGACCCAGGATGGCTAACCTGACGGGGACACTCCGATGGCTAAGTTAGCACTTAGTAGTAGAGAACTTGAAGATGATATCAGAGAGTTAGAGAGTTGAGATTACACCT